ATTGTCAACAACACCAGTATAGGACAGTATTTACTGTTTATATGCTATTGCTATACTTTTATCTTTGCTAATGGGAATGACAAAGTAGTGATGTGAAGAATGATAAAGCATTTGACAGGGGAGTATTTATCATTCCTTTGAAGAATGATAGTTTTATGTGGTTCAAAAAATTTTAATTACAGAACATGCAAACTTTTTGTAGGAAATAACACTTTCAATTCTGTATATATTTTGTTTTTTAAAAATTCCGTATATCTACAAATCTTGGTTTGACTTTAATGCAGCTTTATTAACAACATCTTCATTTTGTGTAATTTGATGTATCAGAGACAGGGGAGTTGTTCAGTCTTTAACTTTTTTTTAAATTTCCTATTTTTATTCCTTTTATTTCTTTCTCTTGTCTATCGTGGTAGAATTTGCCCAGCATGTGTAAAGCCCTAAGTTTTCTCTCTGTTAACAGAAAAAGACAGGCAGAGATAGACTAGGTACAAAACAAGATTTAGCTTTATACTGTGTAGAAATGATACACTTGAGATTTTTTTTTTTTTTTTTTTTTTTTTGCAGTACCAGGTATTGAACTCAGGACCTTGCACTTGGGGGGGAGGCGTGGCACCGCTAAGCTAAATCCCCGGCCCAATATACTTGAGATTTAAAGGCACAAAAAGGTTGAAAATAAAAGGATGGAAAGATGATATACTATGTATACTAGAGTTGAACAACTCCAGAATGAAGTTTAAAAAACAGTTCCATTCACAACAGCATCAAAAAGAATAAAATGCTTAGGAATAAACATAGTAAACATAACAAAAAAACCTGTGTGCTGAAAATTTAAAAACATTATTGAGAGAAATTGAGGAAAATTAAATAAATTGAAGAGATATTCCATATTAATAGTTTGAAAGACTCAATTTTAAGATGACATATTCCTCCAAATTAATCTAAAATGTCAATGCAATCTCTGTCAAAAATTCAAGCAGGGGGCCAGGGATTTAGCTCAGTAGTTCCGCCGCCTGAGTTCGATCCCCAGTACCAAAAAAGAAAATTCAAGCAGCCAGTTTTTGCAGGAATTGATAAGCTGGTCTCAAAATTTGCATGATGCTGTGCAAGGTCCTAGCATAACCCAAATAAGTTTAAAAGAACAGCTATAACTATACATAACTGTAAAGCTAATTTCAAAATGTAACTATAAAGTTACAAGCAAGACAGTAAGTTATTGTCATATGGAGTAATGGAACATGTGAGAAATAATGCTTACTTTGTTTTTGTTTACTGGGGATTAAATCTAGAGCCTTCATACTGAGCTACATCCCCATCTTTTCCTTTCCCCTCCCTCCGTCCCTCCCTCCCTCCCTCCCTTCTTTCTCTCTCTCTCTCTCTCTCCCTGTCTCTCTCTCTCTGTCTCTCTCTCTCTGTCTCTCTCTCTCTTCCTTTCTTTCTTTCTTTCTTTGACAGGGTCTTGCCTTTAAGACTCTGAGTTGTGAGGGCTGGGCTCAAACTTCCGATCCTTCTGCCTCAGCTTCCCAGAGTGCTGGGAATGCAGGTGTGTACTTAGGCACCCAGTTTAAATATATTTACTATGACTAACATCCTTTGAAATAAATGGGTCATAAAGCAAGTTTCCAAATTTGTCCAAATGATTTTATGTTCCTTTTTTTGTTTTTTTCAAATATTTTAATTGTAATGATATAACTTGTTTATTGCTTTGCTGATGTCATTCAGATCTTATTTTTCAAATGAGGAACAATCAATTTATTACATTTTTTGTGCTTTTTTCCCCCTAAGGCATTCTACTATTGAGATACAAAGTGAAAAGACTGTTGAAGCCTGCTGGAAATATATAATGAAAAAGAGGGATTAGAGTACTTCCAGATCCCTAAAGAATAAATAACATTTGTTGACTCAGCAGTCTGTAAGCATTGCTGGTTGCTAACTAATTTGTGGTACACCAACTGGAGAAGGCCCCTTTCCTCTAGCCAGCTCAGAGTGTTGTGACCTTTGGGGGTTTGGGGTTTCATAGAAGGAATAGTCACATCTAGTTAAGGAGCCTAAGAAAAGCTTCATGGAGTATTTTCCTCCTATTGGTTATATTTACTATTTAATATCATTAAATCAGAGATGCCACAAATTATAAAGTGCACCATTATTTTATACACCACAGAAATACTTTCAATTTTAATTGTAAGATGTCTTCAAAGATGTTAAAATCCTTTCGTTATTGTAAAATACATGTAACAAAATGCCATCTTTGGGGAGGTGTTTACTTTTTCCATCCTACCTCTTCTTAAATGTGCAGCTTAATGAGGTTAAGTGTAAGTACCCCTGCCCCATGCTGAGTTTTGGACTCAAGGCCTTTGCACTGAGTTACACCCTCAGCCCTTTAAAAATTTTTCTTTTTAATTTTTAGACAGTCTCTAATATGCTAAGTTGCCTAGTGTGGGGTTGAAATTGCCAACCTCCTGCCCCAGCCTCCCAGAGTGCTGGGATTACAGGTGTGACCCACCATGCCTGGCTAATGTATTTTTAATGTAAAATTCTTCATCTTGCCAAACAAGATATCTCTTAATGTCAAAATAAAGTATATTAGTAAGTGTAGCTGCATTTTTCAAAGGCTGAAATTTAAAGTGTCTTTAAAATAACAGAATTTTATTGTCTCCCCTATAAAGTCCAGATATAGGTGCTGTTTTCACTGGCAATGTATCCCTACAGTCATTTGCAGACTTTTTTCCTTAATTTTCTCCCTGTCTTAACTGTGGCCTTCAACTTCATGAGATGAGTTCCAGTCATCCCACCTGAATTCTGAAGGCAGAAATGAGAAAGGAAGCCAGGAATGGGGGTGCACACCTGTAATCCCAACTCTCAGGAGGCTGAAACAGGAGGATTGCTGCGAGTTCTGGGCCAAGCTGAGCCAACCTGTACTACATAGCAAGACCCTATCTCAAAAAAATGAAAAAGAAAATTTAATATTTTAATTGAGAAAGGAGAAATGCAACAGCACACTTTCTCTTCTTTAAAGACACTCCTGAAACTGCACATATCACTTTTTTTATATCTTATTTAACCAGGATAATTACTGGGACATTTCTAGCTGCAAAGAAAATACAGCTTTCTTTCTACGCAGCCATGTGGTAACTAAAAATTGTGTATCATTTATGAGTAATAATAGGTCAGGCCTTTGAATACCCTGTTAAGGACTTGGTAACTTTAAGCAACAGGGGCCACTGTTGAGCAAGTATTTCTTTCCTATTTTGTATGATCTACCTGCTCTTCCATCCAAATTCTATGTCTAAAGCCCCTTGAAGTAAGTTTCTTGAATTTTATGTGTGAAGCACTCAAATTTATTATATTACTAAACTAATCCCCAAAACACACCAGATGGGGATTTGAAAACTGATTGGGAAGTTTTCAAACTGGATCCTTCTGCTTTAGCCTCTGAGTGCTGGGAGGCACCTGGCCAGGGTTTAGTTTCTTTGGGCTCCTCTTCCCTACTTTGTTGTTCCCATTTTTCAGGGTGGTATAAAGATTTTCCTGATGATCTAGTGTCAGCATCCACTTTTCCAGCTAGGCATGGTCACACGCCCATGTAGTAATCCCAGCACTCTAGGAGGCTGAGGCAGGAGGATGACAAGTACAGGCTAAACCTGGGCAGTTTATTAACTTAGAGACCCTATCTTGAAATTTAAAAATGATATCAGGCTCTGTGCTTAACCCTGGAAAAATGGCAAATACAACAGCATGTTCCCTGCCTTTACAGAGCTTTCCATTTACCTGGGTGGTAGGTTATTAAAATTACTATGTGAAGGCCAGGGATTTAGCCCAGTGGTTCCGCCGCCTGTCTCGAAAACACAAGGTCCTGAGTTCGATCCCTGGTACCAAAAAAAAAAAAATTACTATGTGGAGGGCTGGGGATTTAGCTCAGTGGTTTCACCGCCTGCTGTGCAAGCTCAAGGACCCGAGTTCGATCCCCAGTACCAAAAAATAAAATAAAATTACTGTGTGGATTTTTGTTGTTGTTGGAGTACTGGCAGATGAACCCAGAACCTTTGCACTGAGCTATATCTTCCGCCTTTTAAAAAAATTTTTTTTTACTTTTCTTTCTTCCTTTTTTTTTTTTTTTTTTGAGAGAGAGCGTCTCACTAAGTTGCCCAGGTTGGACTCAAACTTCAGATCCTCTTACCTCAGCTTCTCAAGTAATAGCTGAGATTACAGCCCTGTGCCACCACATGCCAGCACTCTGGAGGTTAAGGAAGAATGATCACCAAGTTTGAAGCCAGCCTGGGCTATGTAGCAAGACCTTGTCTCAGAACACACACATAGAAATGCTGTGGTAGCCTGGAGCAGTGGTGTGCCCCTGTAATCCCCATTCTTGAAAATTTCCAAGGCAGGAGAATCGAGTTCAAAGCCAGCCTGAACTACACAGCGAGATCCTGTCTCAAAAAAAGAAAGAAAGAAAAGAGAATCAGCACAGTTTATGGTGGTGGCTATGAAGCACTATTGGTTTTCTGCATGATGTCTAAAACACAGAAGAGATTGTACACAACTCCAGGTTTCTGAACACTTCCTGGAAAAGGACATTTGAGCCAGATTTGGGGAACCACCTTATCTTACTGGGATTTAAAGATGATAACTCCATGATACCGAGACCTTGAGCAGTAAATGTTTTTTATTGAGTTCCTTATCTATAAAATAATAAGGATAGGAGACCTTGAGCAGTAAATGTTTTTTATTCAGTTCCTTATCTATAAAATGATAAGGATAGCGTGAACTTGAAAAACAATACATAAAACTGTCTGGCACATACTCTAAGTTTTCTAACTGCTGTTAGTTGTTTCATCTCAAGGACAAGGAATGAGTTGATTGCCTCAAAGACATTTTCAGCCCAAAGCATCTCTGAAAATAGTTTAAGTTTTGTATTTCTCTCCTACTATGATTACCTCTAACTTGTTGAGTTGATCTTGGTAAAATGTTAAGTAACATTTGACATAATTATTTTGTTTTTGCAGATGTTCTCAAATAGCGATGAAGCTGTAATCAATAAAAAACTTCCCAAAGAACTCCTCTTACGGTAAGTGAATGCTGATTTTATTGGTTTGGTTTGGTTTTTGGTATATGTCATATTTGTATGCTTAAAATGTTTGATTTGTTATTATAGTGTCTATATTCTTAGAGGGTTTTAACTAATATTCAGCATATTATTGTATAATTTTTATTAGTACATGTTTACAGTACATTATAGTATCTGTATTACCTGAATTTTTAGTTTATTGTTTTGTTAAGCAGCATTACTCTATAGGTGTGTGAGTGAAGATATTAGGTAGCTTAACCACTTAACAGTTTACCCCTACCCTGGGCATCACTTGGACAGTGGGTTTATTTAAGTATTAATTATACCAGGCGTCACTCAGGCAAGTGTCATTTCAACCAGTCGATTCTTGTTTGAACAAGATACAGTTGTACGTGTTTGTTTTATATGACTATTTTTTGCATTCTTTTAAATTTAGAGTGTATTCACCTTTGATGTTTGTTTCTAGTGAAATCTAATAAGTTCTGATTATTTTCTTTTACTAATTTGTGTTTATGAAGAATAAGTTACAATTTTATGCTACAGTATATAAAAACTTATCATAGTATAGTAGATAAAATTTTCATACTTTTCCAGAACTCAATGATACTCTTTTACAATACAGAACGGACATATTTGGAACACTGAGACTGAATAAGTAGGAAATGCCAAAAAATGTGCAAAAGAAAAAAACTGCTAAAGGGAGCAGTGTTAACATATCAGAGGTAAAGTCTATGTTATGAAATGGAAAGGCAAGAAAGATCTCTCCCTATTGTTCCCTATTCATAATACAGAAATGATGGAACTTGAAAGAAGAAACAAAACTAAAATAAAATTCCAATAGTGGTCCATGATTATAATAATTCCATGTGTGGTACTGACAGAGTTGACCAACATCTAACAAGCTATCCTGTTATCAAAAAGCAAGAAACGCCTGCCTCACAAGTGCAAGGTCCTGAGTTTGATCCCCCATTCCAAAAAAAAAAAGCGAGGAAAAATATAAAATATTTATGCACCTTCTGGAGCAAACAATATGGAACTCGCTTGTTATTTATTCAAAACAAGGGAGTTCAAAAAAGTCATTTACAGTGTAGATTAGGTCTAATAGACCAAATAATTGAAAAATACAGGATAGTGAAATGCCAACCAGAATGTCCAATATTGACATCTTCACCATTACATTTAGTGGGTAAACATTTTATTGAGATTACACCATCCACAGAAAAAAAGGAAAGGCAAGCACGATGGTATAAAATGTGTTGTTCCTCAAAGGAAGAAAATAATGGAAAAAGAATTCCAAAAGAGCCTAGGTACTACTGTCCAGATTGTAACATTGTATATTATACATTGAATGTTTTAAGTATATCATACAAAGAAAAAATTTTGAATAAATTTGAAAATTTTGTTTTTATATTTCTGGTTATCTTATAAAAATTAATTAAAAATATGCAATTTTTGGTCATCCTGTATTTTTCTGGACTGGTAAGTGGTTAATTTAGTAGCTTTTTTTTTTGGTCCTGGGACTCGAACTCCGGACCTTGCCCTTGCAAGGCAGGCAGTGGAACCACTGAACTAAACCCCCAGCCCTTAGTAGCATTTTTTTCAACTTGTTCCTGTGTATGGCTTTGTTGACTAAGTTTCACTTTGTCCTATTCACGTATATAATGTGAAATAGTGTTTATCTTATTGCTATACTCAGCCTTGAAGAGTGATTCTAGTCCGTCTTTTCCCTTTATTCTTTTTGCCAGTGTCAGAATATATCTCTGAAGTGACTTGTATTTGGAATAAAATGGTTATGTATACTGATGAGTAAGAGAAGAGTTATTTTAAAAATGAAAAGCCCAAGGTTAATTTGAAACCCTTTCCTTTCCCAGATTATGGATAATGACGTATTTTTAACATGTAGAAATTACATTTGAAATTACCCATCACATAAAATACAAAACCCCCAATTTATAAACTCTAATTTAGAAGTTACCTAAGAAGAAACTGGCAGCTGGGCTCGTGGTGTACACCTGTAATCCCAGCACCCTAGGAGACTGAGCCAGGAGGATCACCAGTTCAACCCCAGCCTGAACAACCTAGTGACTTTGCCAAGACCCTGTCTCAAAAAAAAAAAAAGTTTTTATTTGTTTTTTTGTTTTTGTTTTTGGTATGGGGGATCAAACTCAGGTCCTTGCGCTTGCCCAGCAGGCAGCGAAACCACTGAGCTAAATCCCTGGCAAAAAAAAAAAGTTTTTAGAAGGGCTGGGAATGTAACTTAGTGCAAAGGCCCTATGGTGAGGCTGAGGTACTGCCAAAACTCATCCAATCCATCAATCACTGCATGTTCACTTTCATTCCTGTTGTCTAAATCAAGTCTCATGTCTCACGTCCACACCTAATGTTGCTGAAGTGAAAAATTATGTGGGGGAGAGACTGTGTGAATGCTACTACGATTTATCATAGATATGCACAAGAATATATGAAATAAATATTTATTTAGTGTTGGGGGTTGGGCATGGTGGCACATGTCTGTAATCCCAGCACTCAGCAGGCTGAGGCAGGAGGATTGCCATCAGGCTGAGGCCAGCCTGAACTGCATCACAAAACCCTGCCTCAAAAAACAACAACAACAAAATACTGGGGATTTAACCCAGAGCCTTATGTGCCCTAAGTAAAATACTGAGTACATAGAATAAATAGAGGTCAGGCAGTTACAAGATCATAACAAACATCTAGACAGACTACTTGCGTGGTAGAAGGGACTTAGGCCCTAAAGATTTTTCACATTGATTTTACTAAGCCAGATGGAAGATTGAAAGGACTGAGCTCTTATTACTTGAACAGAGGAGCACTGTGTGTTTGTCTTCTCCTTATGTAATAGCTAAATTCACATGAAACCCAACTCATTGGGATCTTGATGTTGTAAGCTCACTCGTTGTATTCTAAGAGTAAAAGGGTTGTTGAGGTGTGTGCTTAATGGGGTCTCCCAGGTCTGTGTACATTTGACCATCAGCCTGATGTTCCATGGCCTCCTGCTGGCTTTTGTGGAGACCCTTTCTATTGCAAGGTTGCTGGGGTCCACAAGAACGTGTACCTGAAAAACCTCATCTGTTGCTCTCCCTCCTCACCTCACCTCCATGGAATATTTATAAAAATGGCTTGTTTGCTCAAGGACAAACACAAGAATATTTTGGTTATAATACTGCTCATAAAGGTACAGCATACTGGAGGACAAGAAAAATAAGCAGTATTTCAGAAACTGAAGAATATTGAGCCAGGCATGGTGACACATGCCTGTAATCCCAGCACTCAGGAGGCTGAGGCAGGAGGATGACTGGGCATTTGAGCCAGCCTGGGCTATATAGTGAGTTTAGGGCCAGCCTGAACTTTTGAGACCCTGCCTCAAAACACCAAAAATAAAAAAAGAAAGAATATTTGTTTCTCAGAGTACAGTGCTTAATTTTTTTTTTTTTGGTACCGGGGATCGAACTCAGGTCCTTGCACTTGGTTTGCGCAGCAGGTGGCGAAACCACTGAGCTAAATCCCTGTCCCACAGTGCTTAATATTTTAAAAGATGGGAAATTTACTCTTAAGGACCATCAGAATGGAATCAAGTCTGCTGCAAGGAAACAAGAAATCTGGCCTCTCCTTATCCTGTTTATATGTTCTCCCTTACCTGTCATTTGGAAACTGAAAAAGGGAAAAAAGGAGATAAGCCGAGTAAGACTTGGAATTAAAGAAAGGGCCAGGCATGGGGAGGCTGAAGTAGGAGGATCATGAGTTGAAAGCCAGCCTGGGGCTACATAGCAAAACCCTGTCTCCAAGGTGGAGGAGTCGCTAAAAGGACAGCAAAAAGAAGGGAACCAGGTGTGGTGGCACACCCCTGTAATCCCAGCACTCAGGAAGTTGAGGCAGGAGGATCACCAGGAGTTTGAGGCCAGCCTGGGCTACATAGTGAGGGCATTCTGAACTACATAGCAAGACTCTGTCTCAAAAAAGCGGGGGGTACTGATAGAAGACATGGGAAAGATGAAATACTACAGTAGCTGTGTTAAAAAATTAAAGGTTTATGGGCTGAGGATTTAGCTTAGTAGTTCCGCCGCCGCCACCTGCCTCAAAAGCACAAGGTCCCAAGTTCGATCCCAGTACCAAAAAAAAAACAAAAACAAAAGTTAAAGGTTTTACCTCTCCAGTCTCTTGTATCAAACTACTTAGTATTTCTATTCAAATACTCTTAAGGGCTAGGGATTTAGCTCAGTAGTTCTGGCACCTGCCTCTCAAACACAAGGTCCCGAGTTCAATCCCCAGTACCAAAAAAAAGAAAGAAAATACTCTGTAACATCCAAAACAAAGCTCTTGAGTAAGGCACCAGTATCATGGTCCTTCAGTGTCCCCTGTTGTAGTTAGTGGCACTTTGACCCGCCCCCGCCATGTTCCTGAGCCCTCCTGCCCAGCCATCAAGTCCTGTGAGATCTGCCCTGTCTGCAGCTCCTGTGCTGCTGTCTGCTAGACAGTGACGGCCGCCTCCTGACCAGTGAGCTTAATGCCACTTCTGTGCCTTCATCTCTCAGGGCAGGTGCAGTGATCTTTTTCTCATCTAAGTTCAATGATACCACTCAGAGGCCTACCACCTTTGACTCCCCTGGATCCAGAGTCCAGTCCAGACAAGTTACCTGGACTACAGAACCTCCAGCCCTGTGGACCTCTGCACTTTGCTCTGTCCTCATATGTAAATGGAAGGATAGCAGCACCTATCCCATGGGAGTATGGTCAGGAACCAGTAGGTTGGTGCAGGTGCAGCACTTAACATCGTCCCAGGCACACAGCGGAAGCTCCGTGAAGACCTGCTCGTGCCTGCTGCATTCTAGCTTCTCTGCCTCTCGGTCCTTGCATACTCACTACTCCCTCTACCTGGGAGATTCTCTTCCTTGGGTCTTGGCAATCCTTTTTTGCTTTGAGCATTTAGGTTCACATTCCACTGTCTCCTAGTGCAGGCTTTCCCTGACCACTCTTTATTG